GGTTGTGGTTGCTTCTTGATACCCGCCGCTGCGGATTATGCGTTTGCAATAGCAATGCAAGAAGCTGTCGAATGAGCTGTTTGGTTTTGAGGGAGGAGGGGGGAAAAAAATATATTGAACTGTCTCCGTGCCGCTGTGAAGCAATGTTTATATGAAGTAAATAATTGTTGCCTTTGCAGTCTCTACTTGGAATGTGGATTAAATACCGTGTTCCTCTTGCAGGGTAGCGCAATATATTATGCCAAAGGATTTCTGTGCGACGTGCAGAACTGTTTATGTGCTAGTATTGTTTAGTAACTATGTAATTTATTAAAAATATAATGAACTTAGTAATTTATACGATGCATTTTGCCCTTTGGATGATTAATGTGCCTAAGGCTAGTCAGGAGAGCATTCACTTGTGTTGTTTTCTCATGGAGTAGTTTAGAAATAGCAAAATTGAGACCTTTGCTGCAATTTCTATCGTGTAGTCCAAATGTATATGCGAACTGTTGTTTATGTCTCACTGCAGCTTTGTAATATGTACAAAATGGAGTTACACTTAAACATTAACAACAGCTGATTTTCACTGTTAATATAATATCAGCTTGTCTTCATTTATGCATTTTACTGGTAATGATGTTACTATTAAAAATAGGCAAATTTGTTAGGGCAGTGCTCCTCTGCTGAACAATAGCACAGCGCTGCAGAATGCTGCTGCTGTGGGGCTCGGGGTGGGGGGAGGCTTTTATGTTTAATCATGGGAAACACGTTTCTGTTATTTGATCCTGAAACTTGGCTGCTATACGCTATTTTAGCTATAGTTAAAAAAAATAATCTCATGTAATTTTTCTTTACTTACAAAGATTTTTAAAAAGTCATCTTACTTGTTCTGACTTGCTTAGTTTTTATAGTGTTTCTACTCATCCTGGAACAGTTTGGAATGTTAAGCTGGGGAGGGGGGCATACTTTCATGTTTTAAGCAATGGATGAACCAATGCAAATGCTCACATGTTAAGCACGTCACTGAAGTACTATTTCTGAGAAAAAATTGTGTGCCAAGTTCTGGTTATTCACTTGGCGGAAGAAGAAATTAAAATGAGTGAGAAGTTGAATATGAGAGTGGTATTGGGTTGTTTTTTTTTTTTTTTTTTAAATAATTTTAGTGCATGTCAAACCACCAATAGGAAGAGCAAGTAAGCAAACATTTTTAAGCTGATGCTGAAATTTTCACTTTGTTCTGCTTTTTAAAACTAAAACATGTGATATGCATATGTCAATGTAGATTTTCTGTTAGCAGCTCTTCTGCAGCTAACGTGGAATTAATGGGCCTGTGTGTCCTGCCCTGGCACGAGGATTGCTCACAGGACCTTGTATTCCAGTGCCAAGTGTTTGAGAGAGGACAAGAAATTAGAACCTTGCCCTACTGCAGTACTAGCCAGCCCTCTGCGGAGTGTGGGGAAGTTCTTGTGTGACTCTTAAGTGGTTGTGTCTAGTTGTGTGCTAGCATTGCTTAAATTCTTCCATGAACAAGGGCTTTGCATTTGTTTCTGATTTCTTCACTGGAAGTGGCATGCATGGAAATATTTAGACAGCCACAAATATTGGAGCATAATATTGAGTAACACTTCTTTGGCTTTTGAACTTTTTCTGTTGTAATTTAGGTTGATATGTAATTGACATTTAGATTTTATTTTAAATAAAAAAGAAGGGTTTTGATGATATTTTCACAAGCAAAGTGTGGACCTGTTAAACTAGGGAGCCTGAAGTACGTGCAGTCAATCAGAAGAAATAATTATCGCTTCTTAATTTAGCTTCAGGTAAACTTTCTGGTATGAGAAACTCAATCTCTTTTTGCTTAGGAAAATGTTGAAGAGACTAAAATAGTGTGTGTAGGACTATGTTGCCATAATAATTATGTTACAGGGTGTTATCAATGCAGATCTTCAAAGGATAACTGATATCTTTCAATGAATAGTCCCTTTCCACCTAATCAGCCCCCCCAAAAATGACACATACATCTACATGCCAAACCTCTAATAGGAGAGCAATATTGTTCTGTTAAGCACAGTGAAGTTCATTGAAAAACATTGGATCTGCTGCAATCCCCTTGTGTGGTTTTCCCCAATCTTTTTTTAGGCTGAGCCTGGAAAGGTAATTATTAGAGACCCAGGTGTTCAAAAATGAGCTTAAATGGAACTCCTATATCACCTAAACAATACAGACAAACTATCTGCTAGATAGTGGGTTTTAGTACTCTTACACTGACATATGAATGAGGAGATAAGCGTGTACACAAGTCTGATAAATTCTGAGCTTTAGGGTTCAATAAAGTTTGATTAGAATTGTTTTTATTATGTCAGTGTCTCCATAAAGGGAATTTAAAAGTCTACTTATTTAAAACCTGTATCAAAACTCTATCTATAAGCTGTTCATAAGGTGAAGTACAGGAGTTAAGATGTGCTACAGAAAGCAAAATGATTTGTTCTGAGTAGCAGTTAAGTTCTCCTTTACAAATTCATGTACTAATTTGACGGGGGTTTTTTTTTCCCTAGTCAGTAGAACACTGGAACTTGGTTCTTCCACATGTCCGGTAGAATTGAGCAGGCAGTCATGGTTCTGTACTCCTGTTTGTTTCAGCAGACATTGGCCAACTTGTAGAGACGTGTCTTAAAGAATTACATTTAAGTAATTACCTCCTGCTTTTTTCCCCCACTATCCTGCTTCAACATGACTTGACTTTAACGTATGTTATGTTAATCTCTTCCAGATCTCTGTTTAAACTTGCTTTGATTTGTGTTTTCAGTCTTAAACCTAATCAAAGCAATATGGTGTGTTCCTTACATTTTGGAAGATCTTGGTTTTAAGTGAAGGTAATGAGGTTTGTAATTTATCAGCATCACTTCTTTCAATTGCTCAGAGTAAGATTTTTGTCATTTTTCATGTAAGTGTGGCACTTCCAGACTTTCTCATCTTGTTTTAAATTGTCTTATGCTAGGGAAATGTACTGCTCCTGACTACTTAGCTGTAGTATCTCAAACTCTTCAGCCTGCAGTCAGCTTTTGACTAGCTCTGGTAGGTTATTTGCATTTTGAATTAACTAGGTCCTTCTGTAACCACCCGGCCTTGTCTACAGTCGGGTTATAGAGTGTGGTACAAATGCATCTGTTCTGCTTTGGGCTCTATTGTGCCTCCTGTTTAAAGCTGCTCCTGCTCTCTAAAGGAGTTGTTCTCAAATGCTTCTGAAAGTGAATGTATTCAGAATGTACTGACAGTTTTAACTCATGATTTTCCTGTAATATTTTCTTTTGAACGTAAATGAAGGAAGGAAAACAGGGAATGTCTGACTGATTTGACTGGGGATATTTGAGAGCTCTGAATAGAAATTATATTTCTATTATAATTCACCCTTGCTTTAGTGCTCTCCATTTCCCCCTACCCCTTCCTGATAGTCTGGGGAAAAGGGTTTGTAGTACAAAGCGGTCACAACAGCTGTATGTTTCAAGCTTGCTTTCTAACAACTGCGTAAAGAAAAGGCTTGGTGGGTGATTCACAGCAGAACCTGTTTTTACTGCATTTAAATACAATTGGATAATAGTGCAGGCCATAGTTTGCAGTACAGACTGAATTTGAAGAGCTATCTCTGAGGACAAAATACGAGTTATTAGGGTTTTTTTCTTCATCGGACAAGAATTCTGTCATAATTTGACATGATTGAAATATTTGTCTTTTGTTTTCCCAGGTTCCTGTTGCATGTAAATCATGTCCCTGTGGCTACATATTTATTAGTCGAAAACTCTTGCATGCTAAACGTGCTGAGAGATCACCACCCATCACAGGTAATACTTACACAAATGGGCAGAAGGGCACAGTAGTTCTTTCTCTTTATTACTTGGAGGCAAAGGATAGAGTATTTTATTTCTCCGTGTAAACTGACTGGTGTCAGTTCACTTTACCTTGAATTTGTGCATGGTAGACTTTTAATATGTTAATTTTTCTTGAATTTTGAAGGGGTAAAAAGTGGGTGTTTTCAGTCTTACTTCCTTTGTACTTGTGATGTTGTATTTATTCTTTGTGTACTCTAGCAGCACGTATTGGTTGCTATGCAAAATAACTCTTTACAGAAAGCTTTCTGTTAATCCTATTTTGAAGCGAAATGTCTAGAGGTGCCAAAGGGATCAGATTTCAGAGTACATGCTGATTGAAGCTGGGTTTTCTGAAAGTAAAAATCCTCTCTTTTTGAAGAAGTTATGCTAAGTTGTATTTATTCATGAACACCTGAATGGCACTTTGTATAAAATTGGTCATATGTTTAGTCTAAAACCAGGTGGATCTTAAGTATCTCTGCATGGTTCAATTAAAAAAATAGTGTATTTTTTGTGTCTAACTTGTGTGTCTTTGTTGTTGATGGGCACAGTAAGAAGTTGGTTGAATATGCATTCTGGCATGATTCACATTCTCCTAGTGTTCATTTTTGTCATTTTCTCCAGTCCTAGTAGGAATTAGTCAGAACAAGCACCTGTCAGGGAAGATATTTAGAAAAAAAAAATCTGATTTATAATTTCTACTTTTAAAAATAATCTAGCAGACGTACAAAATGGAAACTAAGTATTTGATATTTTATATTGCTATCTTGAAGGATACTCATAGTTTACTAGCTTGTAGGAATTGTATGATGTTATGCTAGATAATTTTCAAGGTGGAGGAGATTAAGCAATGTCTATGGTGCTGTTTGGAAGTGTTGGTCAATTTTCTTTCCCTCTCCCTGATTTGTTTTATTTGAAAGTTGATAAAGTAGTTGCCAAATGAAGCTGAAGACTGTAATCTGGTAGAGCAAAGCTCTTGTATAATTCAGCTTTGTACTCAGGGAATGCCCCAGGGGAGGAAGAACACCATGCATGAATATATACTGAGGGCCACTCTGCTGGAAAGCAGCTTTAGAGGAAAGGACCTGGGGTGCCGGTGAACAGCAGGTTGAACATCAGCCAGCAATGTGCCCTTGCAGCAAAGGCAGCTAATGGTATTCTGGGCTGCGTTAGGCACAGTATTACCAGCAGGTCGAGGTGATCCTTCCCCTCTGCTTGGTGCTAGTGAGGCCAGGAGTACTGTGTCCAGTTTGGGGCTCCCCAGTACAAGAGAGACACGGACATACTGGAGAGAGTCCAGTGAAGGGCCATGAAGATGAAGAAGGGACTGGAGCATCTCTCCTCTGAGGAGAGTTTGAGAGAGCTGGGACTGTTCAGCCTGGAGAAAAGAAGGCTCACGTTTATCTTGTCAATATATAGAAATACCTGAAGAAAGGGTGTAAAGAAGATGGAGCTAGGCTCTTTTTCAGTGGTGCCCAGTGCCAGGACAAGAGGCAATGGGCGCAAACTGAAGCACAGGAGGTTCCCTCTGAACATCAGGAAACGCGTTTTTACTGTGAAGTTGACCAAGCACTGGCACATGTTGCCCAGAGAAGTTGTGCAGTCTCCATCCTTGGAGATACTCAAAAGCCATCTGGATGTGGTCCTGGGCAGCCAGCTCTTGGTGGCCCTGCTTGAGCAGGGGCGTTGGACGGGTTGGTCTCTAGAGGTCCTTTTCTACCGCAACCTTTTTGTGATACTGTGAAATACAGCTTTGGTATTAACATTAGTTAATGTTACCCTGCTGTCCAGTTTGTACCCTGTGTCCATACAAGATTAATGGGACAACTGCAGCAAAAGGAAACTAGTTGCCCAGGAAGATATAGTGGGAGACTGTGTATGTCTGTATTGTGTTCATAAGGTCACTGCAACTTCTTTTAGAAAACATTGTTCCAGTATTTTCAACAGTATAGCTACTGCAGAATGGTGCTGCAGCCATGCAAATGTGCAACTAGTCTGTTGAATAGTGTGCTGTGGTGACTGTACTATTTTCAGTACCCAAGCTTGTTAATCCATACTTAACTTACAGGTGAAACTCATGTAAATACTCGTTTGTTTTTTTTTTTTTAAAATCTGGTGTGTAGGAAAACAATACACTTGTTCACCATTAAGTGTTATGAGGCCTTGTTGTAGACTAGATTTGGTGGGACATGTATGCTGTGTAATGTGGCTTTTACTGACAGCATTGTTTACTCAGCGTCTCAATTTGTGTGAGCAGCGGGAATGATTTCATTGTTAGTGACAAAAGAAGATGAAGTACTTTGCTGTTTGCCTATATGATAAACTTTTTTTTGGCTAGTGGAAACAGCAATGGGCTGTCTTGATGGCTGTGATCTGTACAGTTTTTTCCATCTTATTATGGGAAACTGAACTTTTTGTATAGTAGCAAGTGTCTCATGTTGCAGAATGCATTTGAAGTAATTAAAGGCTTGATCCTTGTAATGAAGAAGTGAAGTGTCATTCTGGATCTGACACCTTAATTTCTGTATGGATACTGTGCAGATGTAGTTCTGTAAAGGTATAGACATCTAACTGCTTTTGCTAAGAGATTTAAAGAAAAAAGGTGATTGGGTGGGGTAAGCACTAAGAGTAAATTAAGAACAAAGATGAAAACGACCCTGGATCATACCATCTCTATTTATTTGTACAGAAAACAAGAGTGAGGCCAAAAGGAGACGGACAGAGAGAGTTAAGCGAGAGAAGATAAATTCTGCAGTAAATAAAGACTTAGAAAACCGAAAAAGGTCCAGGTCTAACAGCCATTCAGATCATAGCAGACGAGGAAGAGGAAGACCTAAGAGTGCCTCAGCCAAAAAGCACGAGGAAGAAAGAGGTATGCGAACTGGAGAAATATGTTAATTGAGTTTTCTTCTTGTATGAAGACTTTTTTTTATATCAATAAACCTTTATACCCTTCAAACCATTTAAATAACTAGACTAGTTCAGCCAATAGTCGGTGTCTTAATGTACAGGGAAGGGACTGTTTCAGATCTGTAGAGACCTCTGTGTTTATGTTTCAGTTTTTGATTGGAACTAACTACAAAGAACTAAGTCTGTATTTTTGGCCACCAGATCAGGTTTCAGCAAGTAGGTTGAACTGTAGTGCTTAGTAGGTTTTTAGGTTTGGTTTTGTTTAAATTTTTTTGAGATACCACTGTTCTATGTTACAAGGACAAACAATATAATGATGCCTGTTATCAGAGAGTGATTAGGATAATTGAATTGCTTAAAAAGTTCACTGAAACCTTTTGGAGGGCCAAAGTAAAAAGGGCATCTTGAGTCACTGCTATGACCTGAATTTTTGTCCCATGTTTCTACAGAATAATAGTCTAGAGGAAAGAATGCCTCCTTGCTTATTAAGGTTCCTTGGTGACCTGCTGCTCTTAATCTTTACACAGTAGATTGTTACATGCACTAGAGTAATTTTGGAGCCCTTCAAGTATATGACTATCACTTAAGATTCCTATTTTTTTAAGAGCCTATTGATACTGCGTTTGCTACCTATGGTTTTGGAGATACCAATTTTAGTCCTGAATAATTAATCCAAAACAGCATAGACTTAAAAAGGCTGGAGATAGGAGAGGAAGAACAAGACTTCATATAAATATTCAGAAGATCTTGTTCTTAAAACTACTGAAACCATCAAGTGTACCTTGTGGCATAACTCAGGAATGCAATTGTTTTTTCCCCCCACCTTATTTGTTAACAAATTTGGGTGTTAATCCGTGTTGCAAAGTGAGTACCTTTAACTTCTGATTTTTCAAAACCAATTTTGTTGTCTCTGCTGTTTAATGTAAACCTGTTCATTCTTAAAAGTTTCTTTCCTATGAGAAAAAGTGTAAATTGGGATTTTGTTGTTGTTTTAGTGCTTTGGCTGGGGAAAGAGGAGGTGGAATTTGATTTCTGTATGTTTTCTGGATGGCGATTGCTTTAATAGGAATACACTTATAATATCTAATCTCTCTGCTGTTGCATATGGCTTCACAGAACACAGAACTTCCCTGTTTGTTATTGACCCAAGCTAGACTTTGTCCAGCACCTGTAAGATCATTTCTGGGCATTTTACTGTCAGTCTAGTTCTCACACACCTTTGGTTTGAAAATTCATGCAAGCCTGTAGAGTTGCCCTGTAAAAGTAAATCTTCTTTTCTGTCCCCTGATAAGAGGGAGTGCAATCAAAAGAAAATATTCATTATCTTAATGCATGTTTTATAGTATCCACAAAGTGAGAATTTGAAAGCATGAGGGATATTTAGAGGACATGTTTTCCTATCTGAAACTAGTCTGAATGTTTTCAACTTCCTGCCACATACTCTGAAGCATGACAAAATGCCAGTGCTCTGAGGTAGAAAACTAGAAATATGGATGTAGTGCAATCTTTGCATAAGAGTGTGTGTGTAGTGTGTTTTCTTGGTGTTTGGTGTTGGTTTTTGTTGCTTGTTGTGTTTTTTGTTTTTAAATTGAATCTCACTTGAGAAGATTGCTTTCACCTTCTTGTGCTGTCCTACCATCCCCTTTACTTCTTGGTACTGTGACTACTCTTCCTCGACCTCTTCTGCAGAGCTGGTACAGAGCTTGGGTTCACACCCATTTGTAATTATGTTTGCTCCTCAGCAGTACAACAGACCTTATTGGTTAGGAGTAAGTAGGCTTAGGATATTTTCTTACTTCTGACTTATTTCTGGTCATGTCAGACTATGACGTGTGTAGACCACTGTAGTGATTATGGGGGAGATTTAAAAAAGCAAACAAAAAGTTGATATATATGGCTGTCATGGCTATAAAAATAAATTCAGAAGAGAACCCATCATTTTGTAAATAATTACTATAAAACAAGTTAACATTGACTTCTCCCTTTTCAAGTGGCTTATAAAATTTGCTTAACTATGTGTGGAATAATTAGCGGGGAATTTTAGAAATATTCTTCCTTTACCAAACCTGCTGCTTGATAGTGTTGTTTGTGTAAAAGCATATTAAGCAACTTTAATTCTTCTACTCCAATTAAGGTGATTTTTGTGTGACTCATTGCTGGTCCTTTTATCAGTCTGCATAGTGTTGAAAGTCAGCTCCGGAGTGCAAGACATTAACTTAGTGTTACACTTGAAGTATATTGTTTCCTTGCCTATTGTATATTTCTAGGATATTTTGGGTACACGTTACTTGCCACTAGAGATTATGCTATTCTTCTTTCTCCCAAAAGACTTGAAAATAAGCCACTATTTGCAAAGCTGTTAAATATTTGGTGCTTCTTAGGCTTCTGCAATGCCTAATGCATTTGTAGATGAAAAACAGGAGGACAGAGAACACCTGAATTATAATAGCATGCAAGAACAGATAATCTATCCATCTGAAGACTACCTAGCTGTGAAATTTTTTTTTTTTTTTTTTTTTTTTTTTTTAGGAAAAGACACCCATGATGTTTGTAGCTTTGCTTCCTTGCTTGTGTCATGCTCTTTTCATACATAGTGTCTTTGTTCCCAGTTATGTCTGTGCCTTTGACTAGTTCTTTTGTATCCTTCATGACTGGTTCACATTAGAGAAAAGAGCTGCAGGATTCAACAGCAATTAAAAAGAATAGGAGAAGCAAAAGGGCATTTTAAAATAAGCTATTTTTCCTGCAGATTTATTAAGAAGAAATGGAGGGGGAAGAAGGAGGAAGCTGATGTAGATTGAGGGGATATGGCAGAGTGCTGGGACCCAGATAATATTCCTATCATGTTTCAGAGCCTTGTGATGACCCTGGAAAATAGGAACTTTTCACTGTAGGCTTGGCTTGTCAAAATTGTCACTTAATTTCTTTGTCAGAAATGGTACAATACGTTTTGAAAATAGAAACTTCATAATAATCTGATTCTGATTTTTGTGGTGGTGGTATGTTTTTTATTTTACTGTGTGGCATTGTGATACACAGCTAGACAGGTTCCCAATCTGCCTTGTTATCTAGGTAACAACCTTGATCATATTAAAACAAACAAAAAACCTTTCGTATGCTGGAGGAAGTGGTATTGGTTATTCTGTTCCTGAAAGAGGTTACCATCAAGTGAGACTCAATAAGTTGGGCCTGGAGTCTTACTAAAGCATGCTTGATACTTAACAAGGGGTGAATCTTTAAAGACACATACATTTCAGTATGCTGAAAAAACTTAAGCTGAATTAAATTTCTTTACCCAAGTTTTCCAGTAATTTCTGACTGTATTACTCATACATTTGCTTGCCCAATGTGCACATTTGAAATAGTTTACTATATTGGATAGTGAATCTCAGCACTTTGGATTTTGAATCCATACAAAATTTGTGAGAGGGGAGGGCCCGTATTCGATTTATACATAGATCATGATTTTAAGGGTTGTGGGTCTAGTGGGTTGCAGATCTGGGGAGGTGAGACATGCTACAGAAAGCCTGAGTATTTTCACCTAAATAGCCTCTTAGCTGTCTATCAAAAGACTTAATATTTTTAACATCTTACAAAAATGGTATTGTGAGTCTGTAAGGCAGTCTTTTGCTAATAATAGAGAAGTGAGTCAAAACTACTTTCAGATAAGACTGTGAAGCGGAAAATTTTAATAGTGTCTGTAGAAACCACGGTATCCTATGAGTAGTGTGTGATAAAATGTCAGGCAGGTGCAAGCTCTTCACTAGTTACTGATGAGAACTGGAATTGTCTTAAGAATGCATAAAGCTTGCAAATCTGTGTTAATCCCTGACGCTGTTTGATATCAGGTTTTCAGTTCTTTAAAGCTGAAGTCTGTCAGAACAAGCCAGTACTTTGAGAGGACAGTGGTGAAGGGAAACTTGAGAAATTTATTTTGCTAAGAATTCTACAATCTGTTAACAGTAACCAGGGGCCGGGGGGGAAAAGTATTTTTAATTTTGATGGGTGGTGACATATTCAGGTGGTGGCTGGATTTGTTTGGATCGGGAAGTATGAAAAAAGGGGAGGGGTTTAGAAGTGAAAATAGGAAAGGTTAATGTGGAATGGCCAGTGTATGTATTCTGTGCTCAGAACAACTCCCAGCATTGTTAATTTGTAAATGGTGGGAGGGAGGAAGTGGAGCAACCCAGACTGAGTGTACATATAGAAACTGATTTGTCTTAAACTACGGGGTAGGACTTGCAGTGAAACTCAGTTTCTTAGCTTTCATTTGAAACTCAGTACACTGGAGAATATTGTCTTGTGTAGCCAGGAAGCCAGCAGAAATCACATTCCAAATATCAAACATGCTTTGATTTGTCTTTCTTTGCTAATCAAGTTTCTTGGTTTTAATTTAAAAACTGATGCATCTTTGTGTGTCCAGGCTCCTCATTAAGCAATTTCACTTGCAGGGAAAGGTGAGCTTGTGTATGATTTAAGTTGTCTAGAAATCTTTTAAGTAGAGGGGTTTGTTGCTGTGTGTCTCTATATCAATATTAAATCAGAACGCAGTGCTAAAGGATTTTTCAGTTTCTCCCACTAGTTGTTTAACACAAGCGCTTGATCTCACAAGGAAGGCAGTCTGGAATGGTGTGTGTAACTGTAACACAGATAGACAATTGGATGTGAAGCCAAATCTAAAAATGTTGTTATGAATGTGGACCCATTGAAGGAATAACCTTGTGAGTAGGCAGAGATACGAGATGCTGGGATCCTTTTTCCATGTGGGGCTTCCCATTGTTTTCCAATGCTGCTTTGTCTTTCACATACGCGTTGCTGATTTAGGTCTCTTGGTGGAGCAGTCTGCCAGAGCATGCTGTGGGCAAAAAATGCATGCACATGTATGTCTGTGTGTTAATGAGACGGGTCTGTCAGGGGAGTGTTGTGTTGTGATTGTGAGTTCATCCAGGCCACCGTGCAACTTGGATGAGAGTTGGAGTTCCACAGTTAGACACCAGCCTTAAAGCTCTATGTGTATTTCTTTCTTTGTGTCTACAAGCCTGGTCTTCTGCTGACAAAGCTGGTGGTGGTTGTTTTTTTTTTTTAATGAGTTGCGTCAGCTACCCATGGCTAGCTAAACTGGGATATAAATAGTCATGGTCTGGATTAAGTGGTATTTATGAAATTATGCTGTTCTATGATTTTTGTCATATGCTGTAGTGTAACTTAGTGTACTTGAGCACTGCAGTATGGAAGCTTCTTGATGGCTTGCTGTTGTGTGTCTGTAGCATTGAAACAAGCCAGCATCAGCAAAGGGAATTCAGGGGCTTTCGCTTGCTTACTGAAGTGTTAGCATTGTTCTCTATGTGCGACAAGATTGAAAATCTGCAGTATAGAAAGTCCAGAAATGTTCATGGTGACAAATTTGGAACCAGACTTCTGCCATGTATCTGCTCTTTGATCTTGGGCACTGTAATTAAACTCTTGGGTTTCTGTTACTTAGATGTAAAATAGGGGGACAAATGTCCTATTTAATGAGGATGTTGTAAAATAACTTTGTTTTCTAGGATGGGAGGTGTTTATGTAAAAGCAAAAAAACCCACCAACCACCAACAAAATGCAAAAAAACCCCCCTACAAAACCAAAACTGGAGGAACACTTGAATACTTGTTTGTGTCAGAAATCAATATAATGTTAATGACTCATTCTTTCTTCATCATTAAAGAACAGAAATTCAGTCATGCTTTTGGATGACTGATTCTGTGACTCTTTTAGTGCCTTTGTGTGCCTCCATTCCTTCCTCCCCTCTCTCAATTCCTCCCTGCATAGGAGTTAATTGTCTAACTTCCAGTACTCCATTCCACATAATTTATTAACTGCTATGTAACTTGTATTAACTTTGAATAATGGGAAAAACTTCTAATAGTGACTTTTTTTTCTTCTACAGAGAAACAAGAAAAAGAAGTTGACATGTATGCTAACCTTTCAGATGAAAAGGCCTTCGTATTTTCAGTGGCCTTGGCGGAAATAAACAGAAAAATTATCAATCAAAGACTTATTCTGTAACTTGTAAGCACAATCTGATGCATTTATGTGCAGAATGGCTAGCATATTTTCAAGGTGTCGTGGACTCTCGGAAGGTGTGTTGTCTGCACCATCAAGGACCATAGTATTTCCTATTAAAATTCTGATGCTGTTCTTGGAAATCGAATTCTGTCTCTGCAAGTCAGAAAGTGTTCACGAGATTGTGCTATGAAAAAATCAGAAAGCAGATATATTTTATGCCTTGAAGACAAATGCTAGACAAATGCACAGAGAGACTGCACCCATTCCACAGCACTTCTTTTAAATTTGCTGCCAGAAATGCAATATTTTAAATATTTTCAGAAGTAAATGATTTTCGTTTAAAATTATATATTTCAGATTTTTCAGCTATATTGCAGTTTATGTATGTACAGTTGACATAACTTTTTAATAAATTGATATTCCAATATTTTATTGAACTGGGAATTAAGTACGTTTGTGATCTTAGGGTGTATTGGCTTTAATCCTCTTAGAAATCTGGTATTCATCCTAGGAATGTCTTTAGATTTGCATTTTTTTAATAGGTTGTGATACCATTCTGATAGGAAGAAAATTAAAGCAGTTTCATTTTGGGGGATTATTCTGTTTGACAATTTCATATTGTTTATGAATTCTCTCTAGAAAATTATTCCCTGTTACATAGAGTTGTGTTTTAAAAATCACATATGCTTTTTGGGATCAGAATCCTGAAGTTTGAGAGCTAAGCACTTGTTTTGTAACAACTACTTGTGGGGTGTCTGCCTTGTCCAGCCGGTAAGTACGTCTCCCATACTCTTTCTTGGCCCATCATTTACTGGTGAGGGAGAGAAGCAGGCATCAGAGATGGAGATCTGCAGCTAGCATCTTCTTACTGGTATTTTCAAAAGATGAGGAGGATATGCTAGTTGCCATTTTTTGTCTGTCTTTTAAAAGTGTAATTCTTAGCAGTATTGTCTTTGAACTGTTGACTGTAAATACCAAAGCAAAAGTCTACCTGAGTGTGCAAAAATGAGCTGTCTTGATAGAAATAGGTTTGGGGAAGACATTCAATGAAATAGTCTTTGTTAAAGTTGTATAGTGCAATTTGAGCCATAACTCTTACTTTAGTAAATATACAGGGTTTTTTTCTTAGAAGGAAAAAAAAAAAAAGCTCAAGCCCTGTAAAATCCAGAGGAAGGAGGTGTAGGAGGTAATTGCATTCATAAAGTCTGGCATGCTAGTTTTTTGTCACATGTCACTCTTCTAAGAAGGGAAATGCAACTAAATGTCTTAGCTTTTCTTCAGTATTACTCATGCTTTTCAGTATCACATTACTTTAATAGTGAGAATTACCTAATGGGATTCTGCTACAGAACTGATTTCTGGGTGGAAGCAGAGATTTTTATTAATAAAGCTAGACTATTAAATACTGACTATTCATTAGTTATTTGTTACTATAATAACTAGTTATATAGTTTTGAGTCAAGCCACAAGGGAATGATCAGATGCAAACTTTGTAAGCAGAAGCAGGAAACGTGGAAAGTGATTTTTAATTCTTGACTCCTAAGGAGTAATGGGGTCCTCACTGAGCGAGAGGGATGGGTGTGGAAATGCACGTAAACCATTAATATACATTTGTCTTTATTCCAGTAAATGAGGAATTGCGAACATGAGACCTACTTCCCTACATCATGTAGACTTCTGCTTTCCAGAACTAGCCTGTCACAGATACCAGTAGTAAGGACAGATGAGTAACTCTTAAGGATAGAGTATATGTTTGCATGGTAAGTTATTAAAGTCAGAATGACAAAAGGGAAGTTCTAATTTTGAAAACTTAAGATACGGTCAGGCTTGTGTTACCTCTGTCACTAGAATGAGATCTGCTGTGTTAAGAAGGGACAAAGGAAACTACTAATGCAGCCTGTTTGGCAGTCTAACCTGCGTTCCTGCAGGTATCTATTTCTTTCTGCTCCTGTACATGGAATTAGTTATCTTCAGAGGACTGAAGTCAAATGTTGTTAGACGTGACAAAATTTAACTTATGCTTTTTACACTTAGAGTGGTGCCGCCTTTGATAAGTACTGAAAAATACATTCATACCTCTCAAAAGTGCAAGACTGGTTTTTCTCCTTCATTGGTGGAAACTCTCTTGAAACAGTGGTTGAGTTCTATCTCTGTACTTCTTTTCTTTGTCTTCCCTAGGTCTCTGCTGTCAGCTCTTTCCCACTTGTGGTCATGCTATTTTTCTTTCCCCGCTGGCTTCCAGTTTCTTTGAGAAAGCTGTGATGGAAGCAGGTGGCTTTGAAAATATCCTAGGGAGAGAGTGGTTCTCTGCTAGGGGATCTTGCAAAGCAAGAGTCCTGGCTTTCTCGTCTCACCAACCAGAAACAAACCATTCTTTCCTATATGGACAGACACTTCAGTGTCTTCCATAACTCTGTGGCTGTGGTATGCTAAGACTTAGATTTCTTTGAACATATTCGGTGACTGAACTAGAAAGTGTCTGTATCATATGAAATGGGCGTCAACATGATGGCGGCTCAAGAGCTCTTTGTGTTAGCGATGATCAATGGATGAAACACTGTGGCAAATCATTGTAGATTACAGTTGTAAAATATATTGAATCTCTGTCTATGAAACTAAAAAAAAGCCAGTGACAGCTAAATGATGAGAGCATAAAATTCTGTGTACTGCAGCTCTGACTTACTTGGAAACTGCCTAGTTTCCAAGAAGCAAGAATAAATGTGAACACTTCAGGAAGTTGCTTATGCAAAATTTTTTTTGTGACTCTCTAGTTCCAGTATAAGATTTTAGGCCCTGCCTTTGTGTTTGTGGTTCAGTCTAAAATTTGTTTCACTGCATTTTGTAGCATGAGACCTCACATGGAAAAATAGTTGTCTTTCAGAAAGTGAATTAGGCTGCAGGTTTTTTAATTAACTTGAAAGAAGATCGAGTACATCACCACCACAAAAATACCACTCTACCTCTATACTGTTACTATATGTGCATAGTAACTTACCTGACTAGAAAAACTTGATGTTGTGAACTGAATAGTTTTGGATTGCACTGGAGAACTGCCTGTTTATGAACCACCATCTAGCAAGCTCTGCTTTCTGTCACCTCTTTCCTCTTTTTTTCCTGAAGAACTATGCTTCCAGTGTTTATAGCTCTATGTAACAGCATGTCAGGCTGTCAAGCAGGTTCACAGTTCAAATTCTGGCTTGAGATTTCTCTGCGTTTACTCTGTTCTGCTACTAGATGGCAGCCTTATTCTAAAGAGTTGCTTTCTATTCAGGCATTCTTACTATTGATACTAGGAAGAGCATAGTATTCAGTTTTGGTGAAAGTACACTGAAAGATTATTTTTCATTAGAACATTACTCATTCATACCTAACTTGGGAGCTTAAAATCCTGCTAATGGATGTTATTGGCTGTGCGTGCTGAAAGTAGATGGCTTCATCAGTTGTGTGGAATGTTAGCTCTTGACCTGTAAAAATTGGTGAAGATGAATTTGTCAAGACCAAAGAACTCTGAACGTTCAGTTAGCAATTTAATAAAAAATGGTTTAAGGAAACTCTTCTTCATATATGTAAGTTTTCTTTGGTCAAATTTTACAAACATCTCTGATTTTTCTGTTATTTTCACTAAATACTGTTATGATTGATTAAAAACCATTGGAAATGGGGCAAGGTATTGGGAATACTTTGCAGATTATCGTCACCCTGTGGTTGGGCAGCAGGATTTGTAGAGAGGGAGACTAGAATTGAGATATTTGTTTCAAATATCAGGTCCTAAACAAGGTCTTTGGGTTGGTTTTACTTAGTGCTTTTCTTTTTTTGAGTTTTTCTAGTTGTTTTTTTTTTTTTTTAAGAGTGAAACAATGATTCATGTAGGCTACTAGCAGCACTGTGTCTGTTCCTTGTATCTTGGACTGTACTGTCAAGGATGCTTAGTATTCTGTTGCCTAACAGGACATGGTGCCTGACTCTTGTTGTTGAAGATAGTGATAACCTTTAAGGTACTGATAACCTGGGATTAAACAATGTAACCAGAAAGCTGTCTTAAACCACAGTTTAGCTTAAGCCTTTTTGAGTTGCTGTTCTCCAGAACACAGTTCCTCTGTGTGCATGAACATGTGCAGGTATTGCTGGTGTCCTAATTTGTATCTCTGGGTACATCTATGCAAGTGGTTTTGTTTGGATTAGGAGTGTGTGTTTCAAGCAAATCTCATGATAGTCTGTACTTCCAGTGCTTATGTTTGCATCATGGAATGGTCTTGGGGAGCAGGAAGTGGATTTCTTTTACAAAAAATTGACCTTGAAGATGTCCTTCAGCTGGTAGTGGGTGTTTGGTCTGCAGGATCAGGACTACCTATAGCAGATGTTGGGCTCTCAGTACCAATTGTTTCACTCTACAGACTTCCCGTTGTGCCTCTCTCCTTGCTTATTATGAAAATACAGCAGAGCAAATGTTAACAAGTTTAACCAACACTTTCAGGTGAGTCTAAAAGCAATTTATCCTTCAAAGTAGTAACAATTTTATCAGTGTTTTGTAGTAGGCTTCCTACATTTTTATTTCACTGGATTCTGGCAAATAACCTCTAGCAAATCTATCTGTAGCATTTCACGATGTTGCTTTCCCCAGTTATTTGCCTATTTTTGGAGGTTGCCACTTCAGTAGCAGTGGTGGTAGGACAGCTCTCATAAGTAGTAGAAAGATTTTATTTTTTTTTTCCTCTTGTTTGAACTGTCACTTTCAAAACTCACTAGTAGTTACAGAATTCTAAGTCTGGCTACCACAAAGTTATATCTGATTAAGCAGTTTTTCTGCTGAGATGAAGATGGTCAATTTACCCTAGTAGATACTGTGAATTGATAATGAACCGAAAGTATCTGTAAATCAATGTATAAGAATGCTTTTTTTTCCTCCCTTACTTTAGAAGGGGTTGCCTATAGCTGCTAGCCGTTGATTGGGATGTGCAATCTAAGGAAAAAGCAAGAAATTGATTAGGAAGAAGGCAGTGGAAATGGATAAATCTGTGTATTTCTTTTTTTTCTCCAGAAGAAAACCTAAACCTGCTTTCACCAAAGTTGTTTAATTTCAAGCTCAGAACATGGTTCTTATGAATCATTCTGTGTCATCGTGCAGCATATCCCCCCAGGAGAAAGTCAGGTACTCTTCCCTCATTTTCCTCCCACCCCCACAATCTGCTTTTCTTGATGCTTTTTAGCTTTGTACGTAGAAACGGAACTCCATCTTACAAAAGTTAGTTTACTACCTTTGGTCTCCTACTATGCATTATTTCTCTCAATCATAACTTAGTCTTTAATTTTGTCATAAGGGTTAAGAAATAAATACTGGTTTTGATCCTGGACAGTGTTGAAGACCATAGAACGCTATTAAGAACACTGAGTGTTCCAGATACCAGGAGTACAAATACTAATAGTCTG